AAAAAAAAAAAAAAAAAAAAAGGTCTTGCCTATAGACCTGCATTAACAACAAGGCTGAAAAAACATTTCAATGATGTGTGAAATCCCAGGTCTCCTTAAAAAAAGATGACTGGAGGGTGGCACATATTTTATAAATGTCATATTCTGATCTGAAGGGGAGTTCTGGGAGAAAATAACTGAATTAGGAGCATATAAAACAGACGTGTTTATTATTATCTAAGAATTATAACAGACTAAGAATTATAAATTGTTTGCACTTCTGTTGCTTGTTAGTTTGTTCGATATTCTGAATGGCTTTAAAATCTTAGCTTGCATATGCCTCCATCCCAGTTAGGAATTTTTTTGTTGCTGTTGTTTGATTTTTGTCACTAATGGCTTATTCTTCTGCTGTTTTTCCATGAGCTTTTTGAAGACCCTCTCTCCCCTTGTTTGATGTTAGAGCTTGCGTGTTTGAAATGACAATGTAATGTTATGAACTTGGCTTAGATGTCTTCTTCAATTTTTTTCCATTAAGTTTCTAGAAATTAAACTGATTGTGATTATCGATACTAGAAATAAGGGAATTAGTTTGAGCAGGCATACTGGTAGGTTTGAAGATGATCATCTCCTCGTAGTAGGGCCTATACTGGAAGTGGCTTTTTAGGTTATTGCTATTCTCCATTTTGATCAGCAAACCCAAATGTCAATGTAGCATTTAGGGTGAGCAGCATCATTACGGATAAGAGAGGATAAGATGCCCAATTTAGATGACAGAGAAAATCAGATTGCTCTGAAAATCGTAGTTCTTTTCAGTTGAAAATATAAGAGATTCATAAAACCTCAGGAATTGAATAAATGCTTTAGAGGCAATATCTAAATGGTGATAATTTAAGCCTCTAAAGTCAAGGGAAAAAACAACAAAAACAAACAAAAAGGAATATATCTCTGTTTGTTTTGACTTATCCAATGAGACTTTTAATCAATAAGTATCCTTTGTTTTATCTTAGGTTGACATGAATTAATACATCTAGAATATACATATATAACAACAGTATATTTTCATATATTTGGACCAAAATCAAAATGAGATCATAAATGGGAAAATACTTTATGATACACTTAAAACATAAGATTTATTATGTATAGATTTAGGTAAGCCTAAAAAGCAATACGTCTCTTCAGAACTATCATGTTGAATTACCAATTGGAAGTATTTTATCTGATTATTCTCTAAGATTTTAAAGTAATCTGTTGATCATCCTATAGTTTCCCAACCAAAATCCTCCCATAACTATAAAATATTTACCAGAGGAACCAAAAGGTCTCAAATCTTCTCTGGTTTTCAGATACATGTGTTAGGCAGTATTTCAAAAGGCATAAATATGTATAACTGCTCTATGAAAAATCCATTTGAATTATTCTCAGATGTTAGGTAATTCTCCACACATATGAGGGGACTTCAAAAAGTTTATAGAAAATGGAATTAAAGTATTTTACTTTGGTACAAAAAAATTAAAACCCATGCATAATTTTTTCATAATGAGAATTTTCTTTGAACTTGTTGAAGATACCCCTTATACACAGATGCACACACATATATGAGTATATACATACACAGTAGTTGTGTTTTTTTAAGGTTTTTGCCATAGAGCACGTGCTCTCGACAGAAAGAGGGAAAGTGAGAAATCACCCCCCCCCCAGGAGGGATGACCACACTGTCATTTCTTCTTGTTGAAACTCCTTCAAGGATTTTGGGCATACATGCATACAAGCCTGACAGGATTTTCAAGCCCCCAGGTCTGGGACTCAAACTAGTTGGTCATGTAGAAATGCCTTAACCACTACACCACCTGCTGGTCCCCACATAAAGCAGTTTTTTAAAAATAAAATGAAGTATAAACTTTGCACAGTGGCTACTTTTTAGATCTTGCTGAAAACTTTATTCTAAAAAAAAAAAAAAAAAACAAAGATGTTTTTCATTCACTTCTCCAAAAAGTTTTTTGACTCACACCTTACTTTTTGAAACATATAAAATATAATATATTCAGCCATATGCTCTTTGAGGGCTAGATCATGCATTTTATTCCTCATGTTATTTTACCACAGATTTTAGGGCACTGCTAAATCCAAAGTAAATGCTTCATCAGTGTTTCCATTGTGTAGTTGCCCACAAAATGTTTCAAATATACTCCTAAAATAGAATTCTATGCTTGACATGGAGGTGCTCAGTTACCACTGATGATAATGAAGGATATATACTTATACTGTACAGAATACTCCATCAGAAAGAGTTTAGTAAAAGGATAAATCAAGCTATAAAACCAGCAGTAAGAATCCAACTACCTATGACAGCCTAAGTAAATTGGAACAATGAAGAATTACCTTCTCTTTTCCCGAAAGAAATTCGGAGTGTAAAGTGGTGCCTGTTACTCCCGGTAATCCTTGCTTTATTTCCAACAGTGTTCAGGGTCATTTACTCTTCTCCACCTCTGCTGGACTGTGAACAGGGTGCGATAATGACAAATCAGCCACAGCAGGGTCTGAAGTAACAAGACACTTCTGTCAAGTACATCTTATGAGTCCGGAATGTTCCAAATATCCAGCCATGATATTAATCCAGCAAATGCTTTGGTTAGACTTGAGTTGGCAGATTTTTGTAAAGTGGCTCTTACATGCGTAGCATTTTGATAAGGACTCCTGAGGAGTTTCTGTCCCTGGGGATTTGTTCTTGTTGGGGAGGACCAATTTTTATATTAAAACAAATAACAACAAAACCACTAGAAAATAAAACAATTACATGGCCTAATAATAAGCTGTATGGTACAGACTGTAGGTGTTAGAGGAATAAGGAATTTACAATAGTTTGAGCAGACATGTTCATATATGGGCTTCTGAGGGGAGTAGGTCTTAGAACATTAGCAGGATTTGGATCCATAAGAAGGCCAGCAGTGCAGGTATAGCTCATGCAAATGCACAATATTAGCATCCACCTGAGAGTCAGCATTGCATAAAGACAAGAACACAAATTCTGGAGTCAGAATTCCTGAGTTCAAAGCCTGATCCTGTGTTATTTAAGTTTAATATGTTATCTCAATTTTCACATCTATAAAGTTAAGAAATAATTATACCTAGTACTCTGTAAGGATTCAATAAATTAATATATGTAGGGGCCAGCAGGTGGCGTGGTGGTGAAGTTGCTGGATTCCCACATGGTTGACTGCAGTTTCAGTTTTGGATCCAGTGACTTAAAAATTACACAGGGTGTGTGTGTGTGTGTGTGTGCATGTGTACTCAAGATCTCAGGAGGAGGACAGAGATTTGCAGTGTGGCCATTCCTTCTGGGGGGTGATTTCTTACTTTCTCTCTCTCTGTCTCTGTCACTCTCTCTCCAGTGAGCACACTGGGGAAAAAAATCTTAAAAAAAATATATATGTAAAGCTAATATGTGTAGGTAGTGTTATGTAAGTGCTTACTTTACTACTAACTGGGGAAGATATTTGGAGGGTTGATAGAGAAATGGCTTAACTAGAGCAAAAATGTGGAGAGTAATACAAATATATAAAGCAGAGTAATGATTTATAGTCTCTATTTGCACTTTACATAAATGGCAAAGCCTGAGTAGCACTTGGTTGTGCTTCCCAGGATGTTACTCTGCTATATTGTACCACTGGGTTGTCAGAAAATGTGTCATGATTTTTCTGACAACCTAATATTTTCCTATGTGTCCAGTTTTCTTATCTTTAAATTTGGAATAATATAAACTTCATAGGATTTTTGTTAGTATTAAATGAGTTAATACAGGTCACTTGCCTAAATAGTGCCTTACACATTGCTACCATGACGTATATGTTGAAGAAACAAATAAATGTTAGCCATGATAGCTTTTGCTGCATAACAAGGCATCCCTCACTCATAATTCTCTAAGTTAGCAGTATGGGCTGGGCTCACAATATTGCAGCCAAGCATTCATCCCCCCTAGAAGGACATAAACAGGTTCTTTAAAGACATTGCCTGACTCCAGAAGAAAGATACATTGACACTTAATGGGGTAAAGTTTCTCAATTATTCTTCAATAAAACTCACACATTTTACAATCAGTTCATCACTGATAAATTTTAAGCATCCAGAACAATGCCTGAAACAAAGTAGTCTCTCAATAAATATCAATATTTACTGACTATTGAATAAATTAGTTTTAAGTACTTCAGTTTCAGACATAGACAATGCAAGATCTCCAGATATTTGAGGCAATTCTCTAACATGAAAGAGGAAAAACTTCAATAAATGAATACTAAACCAATAAAAAAAAGTCCAGAAAAAATAGATCTATAAAGAAGGGAAAGGGGTCAGCAGGTGACTTGATGGTTAAGGGCACTGGACTCCCACATGACTGACCATAGGTCTAGTCCTGGACCTGGTGGCTTGCTTTCTCACTTTCTCTCTCCCTCTCTCACTCTTTCTCTGGTCAAATTAAAATAAAGAAATAAAAATTTAAATAAAATAATTCTTTTCTTATAAAAAAGAAGAGAAAGGAAGTGTTGTAAAAAAAAAATACATATATCTGCTTAAAAACAACCGGTGGAGCAGGCAGTGAGGGTACTGCTACTTAATGCTGGAGACTATATGGAAAGGTTCTGGGTTTGCATCCTAGGGCTACATGAAGGCACTGGACATGCCCATGGGCACACCGGGGATCCTGGCTGGTTGCAGAGATGAAAGAGGATGTCAGTGTGAAGACCCTTCTCTCTCAGGAGGAAATAGATGAATAAATGTAAGAAAAAAACAATCTTTCAGAGAGATAAGAGAAGATTTAAGACCATAAAATTATATCTGGATACTATTTTTAAAAAGAGCAAATAAACAAAAATTAAGTGTTGGGATATTAAAAACACAGAAATTGATTTCCAAAATTTAATATACTTTTAGAAGATAAAGAAAATCTACTCAGAAGTAGAACAAAATATAGAAAAATGTAAGAGATGAAAGAGAAATTTAGAGATCTAACTTGTGGTCTGGCATACAACAATAGGAGTTTCAGAAAGAGACAGAGAATCAAAGGCAATCGTAAGGACATTTGGCAGATGGTGTAACGAGCGAGCGTAGCTGGACTCTGTGGGTGTGCCCAAGTTCCTGAATGGAGAGTGGCAGAGAAGGGATTGCGACATGGTCTTCCCTACTGGGGGTGATTTCTCACTTTCTGTTTCTTTGTTTCTCTCTGTCTCTCCAGCTAGCCCTTGTGCCATAAAACAAAAATCTCTCTTAAAAAAAAAAATCCCCCAAACTGAAGAAACCAGTCTCTGTGTTGACTTTACTTAATGTTTTGCAGAATGAATAGAGTCAGATAAACACATTGTATGTAAATTATGAGGATCAAACTATGAATCCAGTACCTGGCAGTTTGCTTTCTTGCTTTCCCTTTCTCTCTGGTCAACTTAAAATAATAATAATAATAATAAATGTAATTAAATAAATAAATAATTCTTAATAAAAAAGAAAAGATCAAGTTAAACAGAGGAAGAAAACAACTTTCAAAGAGAAAAATCAAGTATTGTAAAGGAATGAAAAGTATATTGGCATTACACTTCTTACTAGCAATACTATTTACCAGAAGAGAGTTGAGAAATGCTTTCAATAATTCCGAGAAAAGCATATTTTCAAAGTGTCAACTGAACTGTCCATCAATTTAGAAGATACAAAATTTTACCTCCCATGCATTTGTTCTGAGGTTAAACTCCAATCAAACAATGAAGTAGTCAAGAAAAAAGAGGACTCAATATTTGAAAAACAGAGAAGTCAATTGAGAGTGTTATGATTCAGGATCTGCAGCCTAGAAAGCAGACTAGACATTTGCTGAGACAACAGAACTTTGGAGGAAATGAAACTTAACAGATATATAAAGAAGTAATGAAACATTTGGGGATGAAACTAAGAAACAACACAAATTAAAAATAAAAATGTTTATTGGGTCAAGAAAAGACAAAATTTTGTTTGGAAAAAGAAAAAAATATAGTCATAATACACACCCTGCTTCTCTAAGGAACAATACTTAATGATCAAATGGATTACTGATAATAATAAAAACAAAAATGTGATTTATTATATTGTAAG